TTGATGAAGACTACATTCTGGAGTTGAGGCAAGAAGTGCCTCAGGTACAAAATTTAACATACCCTCCAAGGAAGAACGTGGCTATGAATATGGTTGGAGCGGAGCTAACGGGGGATGGCTGATTTTTCTTGGGCAGGGCAGAGATTTTTCCGTCAAGAGGAGCTAACTGATAAATATAAAATGTTAAATTTGATTGCGGTTTTGAACTTCACCCCAATTGGACGAAAAACTAAATGGCCCGGTTGCTATACACACTTGGGAAGGGACAAAACATAAGCATCCCCTCCTTCATTTTGACCAAGATGAAGAAAGGATGCAACGTGAAAAGAAACTCACTTTCCTTTGGCACCTTGGTTACGGAGATGTTCAAGGACCATGGGATTAGGGTAAGGCCTGAGATGACTATACAGAGGCCAATGGTACCACTTAACAAGACTTCTTTCCGACGAAGCCAAGGTCACAGTGAAGCCCCGACGACGAGACAAGAGGTGCCCCGTACCCGAGGTGTCGACGAGGTGCAAGTTGTCCTAGATGAGGAGGAGAGAGAGAGTTAGATACAGAGATAGCCCAACAACAGCCAGAGGACGAGGCAAGACCCTCCACCAGCTCCAGCTCCTAGCGCTCACTTCGAGACATCATGCTTAGCTTTGAAGCTAAGCAGGATGAGATTCTTGGCCTTCTGATAAGTGGAGCTGGAGGACAGTAAGAGAGGGGGATTTTTGTTCTTGAGTAGAGTTATGTGTGTTTGTTTCTTCTTCTGTGGATGAGCTTCTTCTTTGGTGGTTTATTGTGGATATTTAAACTTCTTGTGTTTTGTCACTTCTTTTGTGGATGAATTGAATTTGTAGAGTTTGTGTTAAATGATCATATTTTGTGAAATGAATGGTTCAGTTTATCACTTTAATCTATTTAAAAGCATGTGTAGAAATAGCAGTATACTGTTATGTGCTAAAAAATGATGGAACAAATGTGGATGCTAAGGCTGTTTGTTAAAGTAACTAATCACATGATCAGTCTGACACCTAACTTAGCAATCTACACTTAAAACAACAGATCCTTGAACAATGGTATTTTCTCTATGCTTAAAATGTCAAATGTACATCAGTATTTGTTATTCTTAAGGTACAAGATGATTGGACTAAAAAATGGAATTGATATATAACCAACATTCCCTGAAAAACCTGACATGAGAGACCACGGTAAGTTTTGAGCCTCACAATGCTTTTGAGAGACGATCAACATTTACTCAACTAAGGTCATTCACTTTCAATTTTTGAATAATCTCATTAAATTGCTTTGATTGAAGCAACTGAAGTGATCTATTGACATATCCCATAAGGAATCTATTTATAGGACAAATACATATGCACATACTTGAGAAAGGATCTTAGACTATCTTTGATTTAATTTTGAGCTTTAGTCATTTCTTTTACAAAGTTATATCCCTAGTTAGTCATGCTTGAGCCTTCAAACGAATGAATTCTTTTTCAAGAAATCCATATGACAATTAAGCCTCAGGAAGATATATTTGACATATCTTGCTATCTAATTTTCTTACACCTTCTTATCTATCAAAATGATATAGAAAAGCAAGAGAAAAAGGTAATAATGGCTTCTGGTAAATGAAAGAAAAGTCTGGGAAAACAACCAAAAGTGAAGAAGGACCAAATAAACAGAATTTTGCCAAGAAAGTGAAAAATGACAAAAATGAAAGAAAGAAACACCAGTTCTAGGCAAAATGTCGAAAAGCCAGAAAGAGGTCTGCTACACGACATAAAAATGGGCTAGTTTTTGAATACCATTGACGTCATTTCTTTAGCTACTGACCTCCAGCCACATTACATCCTATACAAAGCCCTAATTGATCTCAAGTCTTATGCATGTGTAAGTCGTCCACTACAAGTTGGGATATGTTAACTAGTATTTCTTTAATTGTATCAATATTCCTCCATGTGATTATGCCAAAACATGAATAATTAGTTGTCTTAAAACTTCCACTCCCTTTCTAACTGTGCATGTGATTTTTTGATTGGTCATCTTTTGATCACATGCCCTTTGTGAGACAAGTCAAATCACTAGAATCAAAGCAAATTTTTGCTGAGAACATTCTAAGAAAAGTTTTTGAAATCAAAGCTATCCATGGAAGGTGGTAAAGTGGAATATTTGTTATATAACAATTGTTGTTTCTAGAATGATTATTCTCACTACACGGGGAATTCCAAATGCCAATGTAACAGATGTTAATTTTTGCATAGAATAAATACCTACAAAAAAGAAATATGTTGGAGATAAGTCAAGATTGAGGGTTGGGTGTCTCAACGACCATGATGCTAACTTATTTTAACCAACAATCTCACATACACATCTGTTCAACTGAATTTTGTGGGTAGCTTTACTAAAAATCCTCATGAGACAACACTCGTCTACTAGGGTAAACCTAGTGGTTCAACAGCTTGTTGCATATGCTAAATGCAACCGAATGACCTACGAAAATGACACTAGTAATAGATTTTTATGAAATTGTTGTATTACTAGATACTAGCAATATTTAGGTTGGGGGTGTGGTTAGTAGTTAAAATCAGCATATCACTATGCCTTTTTAGGACTAATTGTACTTTAATGGAGTTTAAATGCTGGCATTTCAAGACATAAATTGTACAAGGGACCAAAAGCAATGAATGTCACACATTCGTGCAACACCAACATATTCTAGAGCAAAATTGGAAAAGTTTGGACCAAGGCAAGAACGTTTGAACGCCAATCAACGTTCGAACATTCTCTTGAATTATTGAAGATCAGACTATAGGATGCTAAGACAAGGCATGTTGTAGCCAAAAAGGAAAACACTAAGGTACTTGAATACCACTTTCGAACGCCAACTCACGTCCGAACGTCCACTTGATTAATTGAGGACCAGGATGCAGAGTACAAAGCGCCAAGTTGTGCACAGAGTGTGAAAATGGGTTTCCACAGAAGATCACAGGCTACTTGAGTAGAAAGGTCAGACCTCATTTGGCATTTGAATGCCCATCAAGCATAGACAGTAACAATGTTCAAACGCCAAACAACGTTCAAACGTTGATCCCAAACAAGTTGCAGAGTGGTTGATCTTCTCTTCGGACATTGGAACTTTCAGTTGGACTTTGAAGGTTCTACACTATTCCCTCACACACTCTTGTCCCCCTCCTCTTTGCCTATAAATACTCCCCTTGAGAGAGTTTCTTAAGGGAGTTCCTTTAGAGGTTTTTTTTTAGTCTTGTAGAGATCTAGAACTTGATTTTGTAGGCTTTGACTACACCAAGACTAGTAAAAGGCTTGAAGGAGGCTTAGAATCCCACTTGTAGTTGCAAAAAGCTTGAAGGAGATAGATCATCTTTTAGTTGCAGTGAAAATCCTCTAAAAGTGACTAGCTTTCTACTACTTTCATTAATTGTCTTTCACTTCCATTGTTTAAGCTTCTTTCTTCTCTTAGATGAGTGAAACTCTTCCATTTTTCTAGAGTTTCAAAGCCGTGAAGGGTGGGGAACGTGATTCACTTATTCTTTGTCGAATATCGGCTCTTCACTTATTGTGCTTTGCCTTGTAAGTCCTCTACTTGGAAAGATGGACATCACTCACTTTTCTAGTTTTACTAAAGCCATGAAGAGTTAGTAGTTTCTCATTCACTCTATAATAAGAGGTGATGAACATGTATAAATCATCTGAAAGTTATATTTTGTGCATTTTATGTATGCTTTAATGTTTAGGATAGACCTTCATGACTACTTGTCAATCTTCACTATTATTGGTTCATGTAAAAGATGAAATATTATTTTCATGGTTAGATGTCTTGTAGAAACACCTACTTGTTTGTAGGCGGGTTGAGTCTCAGCATCGACAATTTTTGTAAACTTCTAAAAAGGCATTGAAATTATGTACTTAATTCTCACAATTCACTTTTATCTTCTCATTAACTTACCGTTGACAGGGGAGTTACTTGAGTTGCCAAGCACAATTATAATAAACTGGATGATTAACTACATGTTCAGATCCTCGAGCTAAAGGGTGATTGTTTACATTTGAATTTATCTTATATTTTATCTAGAAAACTAATTGGAAAGAATCTTCTATTCTGTTTAGAAAATCTCATACTTTCAAGCTCTCAAGATTTCTAGTTACTTGGTATTTATCACTGTTTACTTCAAAACACTAATTATAGTTCTATGTGGATTCAACTCTGGACTTAACCAGATTATTACTACAACTTGACCTCCTGTACTTGAGTGTACACATATCGGATCAAGTCAAGTTTCTAGAATCGTTGTCGGAAAACCATAAAAGGTGTTTTCAAATAAAAGATAAGAAGACCTTCCTTTTTGTATATATTTTGTCTTTGATTTTTTTTTTTTTTTTATTTATGTTTGAGTACGATCCTTACTTTCAAACTTTACCAACCTGCTTAACTTAGGTTAAAGATCCCTCGAACTCGCGACAAGTTACCCATAACTTATAAAAAGAAGGCAAAGTTTTTCAGCTCATCCTTGCGATAAGTTCCTAGGCTTATAAGAGCGCTCAAGCTCACAATAAGTTACACTTGTAAAAAAAAGTGTGAGCTCTTCAGCTCATCCATGCAATAAGCCACATGGCTTATAGAGTGTCAAAACTCATGATGATTCCCGAAACTCATGAAAGAGCTCCAACGGCTCGACTCGACAGAAAGCTCTTTAAATCATCCTCTACACCAAGCCCATGGAAGTGCCCAGAGCTCACAATGGATTACTTGCAAAAAAGGACATCTTAGCTTGATCCAGCAATATGAACTCAAAAAGTAACGACTAACTTGCAAAAGGGAAAGCAATGTTTTGTAACTCATCCGGGCAAATAATGAAACCAAAACTTAATAAAGCAGTCGAACTTGCAAAATTTATACAGGTTTACTCAAAGAAGGCATTCGAGGCAAAGAAATTACATTCAAAAATAGAGGAAACTACAAGAATCAAAACACTTCAAAACTCTCCCAGTCAGTGACGAGCCATGACTGACCAGGTTGTTGGAGGAGGACGTACTAAGAGGCCGCTCCTCAGGATCTGGGCTTTTTCCTCTTCAGTTCCCTCACCTGCTCCTTCGGCCTAAAGGAGCTGAAGAAACAAGTGAGGTCTATTTCTGTCAAACCCAGCCTAGAGGAGCTTCCATTTCTTCACAATCAGCTCTAGCTAAAGTTCTAGCTCAACAACAACCAAGGACCCCACCCTAGCGTTTGAGGGTCCAGGGGCAGCAGAAGGCCTGTGAAGCCTCTTCCTGGAAGTGGCACTTTCATCCAACTCACCATCGGGAATAGTAGCAAAGCTGACTTCAACGGCAGCAACCGAAGTAAGAATAGGGGCAGGGCCTAGCCCAAACCTAAAAAGGTTCTAGGTAGTGGCCAGCTCCCCGAAGGGCATCAACTTGAGCTGGGAAAGCTCAACCCCATTGACTTCGGCAAAAACCAATCTCAGAACTTCATCTACACAAAACCAATAAACAACAAGTTAAATAACACACGGCTCGGAAGAGATTAAAGAAAGAGACAAAAGTCTTACCCAAGTTTGCAATACGCCGCTGGGTGCATGGGACCTGGATAGCATCCATAGCCCCCTATCCATACTCCCAACCATTCGCAGTGACAAAAAAAGAAATTGTGTTCCCACCCTTTAAGTGATGGAGGAACATCAACAACAAGCCTGAGGATCTATATCCTCCGAGAAACACAAAAAAAATCAGGGAGGAAACTCATAAACCAAGCAGAGAAAATGAAGGCAACAAAAGATTTAAAAGAACCTAAGAGAATGCCCCAACCCTCAGGAATAAGTTGAGAGGGACTGAGATCGAAGAAAAAAAGAAAACACCATATAGAAAGGTGTATGGGGGGAGTAGAGCCCCATCTCAAAGGCCCCTTCAAAGAAACAAATCCTCTACTTTCGATGAAGGTTGCAAGGCTCATCGACAGTAGGGGCCTGGCAAAGAAACCACAGGAAATTGGAAGTGCTCTTGGATAGCCACAACTTTAGCCCAAGACACAGAGTTGGGCCTCAAAAAGCCACCCCAATGTGGGTACTCAAGCTTAATCGCAACCCATTGTTTAAAAAATGAAGAAGCAGATAGATCCATAAAGAGCAAAGCACAAAAAAAGGCAAGTTTGGCTCAACAGTGTTCAATGTGAAGTGGAAATAAGGAAATGGCATACTTATAGAGCAAAGGAAGTGATGCTTAGTCTCCTGCAACGCTTCGATTAAATGAGGGCAATTATGGCATTTAAGGGCAAGTACACAAAATTAAACACCCTTTGCCAGAGTTATGATGATGCAGCACCGGGAAGGATAACCGTCAATCAAGTCCCCTCATCAACTGTCAGGCACGCGCAGGAATGGAAGAGAAATCGCCAAAACCACGTCCTCCATCAATTATCACACTTGCATAGGGATGATAGGTGGTGAATGCATGAAAATGCCCTAGTTTGATTACTCAAACACTTGAGATTTTCAAAACCAAGAGGTGACTTGGAAGCTACTATAGCTAATTAGCAAGCTCTGCAATGCATACATTCACAAGGTCAAAGTAAAAATCAAAGATGATTCATTTTAAAAGTCCTACTATTACGGAAAAAAACAAAAAAAAAAGAAAGTATTCTGAAATGTTCTGGTTACAAAAGTAAGGGGAGAAAGCGAAGAAACCCTAGGACTGTCCACCAGAGTCTATCTCAAGTCCTTCATGTTTGGCAAGGTTTAACAGGGCATTAAGAAGAGGCTCAGTTGGAACCTCAATTCTCGACGAAGCCTTAGGAAAAGACGCGGCAGAGGTCCTAGCACCCAAAAGTGGTGCCACAAGATCTGTTTGGCATTTTCTCAAACTCAGTAGTTGATTTTGGAGATAAAGGGGTAACGAAACACATGAAGTCTATAAAAGGATACTTCTTGGTAGCTTGTTCCCGTAGTTCTCCATGACCATCGACGTAATTATCAACGCACCCAGCTTGAAGGTCCTTTATGGTCTTCTTGTTAGCCTTTAAAACAGATTTTAAAGACTCGACCTCTAGCTTGAGCCCATCCACAATCTGCTCGGTTTGTTCTTTCTCCTTCTCGCCCTTAGCGGACTCCACCGCACCAAGAAATCTACTCACCTCGGCTTCCTTTTGCCTTAGCTACTTCTTCACAGGCAAACCAGAAAGCTCTTAAGACTCGAGCAGATTTGGGAAATCGAAGAGATAAGGGATTTGGTAAAGTTAAGGGTTTGATTCAGGGATGGTGTTGAATAAGAATTTTTGGCGATTTAATCTCTTTGGGCGCATTTAATGCGCATGCACAAATTTTCACATGGCACGATACAACAAGCATGTCCTGAGAAACGAAAAATTAACTACCCCCACCCCCGCATAATCGAGCAACTGTCCTAGACCATCGGACTGAGATGACATTTTCCCCAGCTTGGTCGAACTTGGGACTGGGGGTAACTAATGATACCCTATTAATACGTGTGAGGTATGTCTAAGACCAAAACCATAAGGAGCCGATGCAGGACCACAAAGGACCTTCAAAAATTTGGAAGACCTGACCTCCACCTTTGGGTAGACCTCCAGGTCGGTAAATGCCTTCCCTTATTGAGTGTGCAGTTGATCTAGCTGGATTGTTTTACCCCCTGCAAGTTCCAAAAAGGAAGGTTGCATAATCTCTGCAACAAAAAAGTGCTACTCTAGGAGAAATAAACTACTACAATCAAGGAGGGATGCACTCCCCACAATCGAGGAGATATTCACTCTAACAGTCTAAGCAATACCTAGAGAAGATCCTAGTTAATAAGGGAAGGCATTGCCAATGTCTTTTAAATATCAAAGATCTTCACCAGGAAAGAGCAATCTGTAACACCATTCATTCTCAACAAGTAATAAGATAATTCCCCCTCATTGGAGCAAGAGACTCCATTTGAGTGGATTAGCTGGTGTCGATGAACCATTATAAATCCTGCTTATTCTTTAAATCTTTGACCAGTTTTGATATAGTCACTCACAAGAGTCTAACGGTATATAACTTGGCCGAGGTTCTATCTAACTTCTAGTCTGTACACCATCACACCTTATTCGACTTTACAATACTCTGCCTTAGATGACAACTATATTAAGATAATGTTCCATGCATGAATGTTGCCTCATTAAAATATTGCCCGTAAAATCTTGTGGGATAAAACCTAGACTAATGTGCAAATTTTCTTGTATCTTGATGTGGATGCTTCCCCTAATAAAATTCTTCCCCTGATAAGAAAATTAATTGAGTTGGTCACAAACCCGCATATACCGATATCATATACTAACTTTGTGAATTTTAATGATGGTAAAGTTTTAGTAAATAGATCTACAAGATTATCTTTCGATCATATCTATTTTACTTCAATTTCACGAATCTATTGGAGTTCATGAGTATAGAAAAACATTGGTGATATATGCTTAGTTCTATCACCTTTAATAAATCCTCATTTGATTTTTGCAATTCAAGCAGAATTATCTTCATAGAACGTTGTTCGCAAATCTGTAGTTAAATGGGATACACATGTACTTTGGATGTGATGGACTATAGATCTCAACCATACACATTTATGGCTTACTTCATGGAGTGCTAGTATCTCAAAATGATTAGAGGATGTAACAATTACATTTTGTTTTATAAATCCTTATGAGCTTGTTGTATCATCACATGTGAATACATACCCAATTTGTGAACGATCCTTGTAAGGATAAGAGAGATATCCAGAATCTGAATAACTTACTAAATTTGGACAATTGACTTATTATTTTGAATATAATAAACTCAAATCTACAGTTCCATGGAGAAAAAAAAGGATATGTTTTATAACATTCAAATGTCATTGAGCTGGCACAAAATTAAAGCTTGCCAATAGGTTAACTGCAAATATTATATCATGTCTAGTACATTATACTAAGTATAGCAAAGCACCTATTGCACTCAAATATTATATTTCGGGACCAAGAAATATTTCATTGTAACGTCCCAATTTTTTGAGACGTTATTTGGTTAAATACAATAATTTACATCTAACAAAAAAAGTGACAAAGCACTAATTGTCCCAATAAAATTACGACTATTAGTTCAACGCCAAAATACAAATAAACCTATAAATTTTAATATTACAAAAATCTATCGAGATCTGCCCATATTTAATTCTTCAAATATTTAAATCCAATGATTTCTCACAAAGCCACCTGAAAATATTAAATAAAGTAGAAATTTATACAATATGATGAGAAATAATATGTTCAACGCTATTGAATACCAAATAAACTAGGATCACCAAAGCATCTCAAATAGTAAATACAAAGCAATAAACTCATATATTGCATACCAAATAAACTAGGATCACCAAAGCATCTCAAATAGTAAATACAAAGCAATAAACTCATATATTGCATACCCCACATCATGCGAGGTCAAAATATAGATCTGACACCTTACCAATCATCTCACTTCAACCCGATACCATAGGCCTATTGGTTGGCAATGCATAGGACTTTTGCCTACCCAAATCTAGTCTCAATCCACACAAAACACGATCAATGTGATCAAGTTACTCAACAAAATTCAGTAGGAATTTCAGAATTACGATAACACAAAATAGAATACAACCAAAAATAATCAATGTAATGCTCTTTGCAAAAAAATTTAAGTAAGAGCATATGGTATACCACACCGTAACTTAAAGTCATCAATTGACTAAAAAAAATAAAAAAATTCCAAGATCCACCAAAATGAAATCACCATTTGATGCTCGACTCATTCTCATAGATTATTATTATTCTTTCTTACTTCCTCTATTCTCTCCCTTGACCAAAAAAAAAAGTCTCCCCCTTTTAATTTCTGGCTGAAACCTCTCCTTCACATTTTATAGCCAAGACACACGTATAATTTTCCAAGACAAGCATAAGGCACCCATCCTTTTCCTTTAGTACTACAGGGACATACCCCACTACATTGCGTAAATTTTCCTACGTGGGTCCCACTCCCTTTTTAATTTTCCTTATACTTTATTTATTTATCAAGATATAGCACTCATCGAATGTATATATTATATTAGTGTTTTAAAATCCGACCTAACTCAACAAGTTGACTCAGTGAATCGATCACTACATCGGGTTGGGTAGTGTATTAGATTATTTGAGCACAAAATTCGATCAACCCTAATAAACCGAGTGATTCTTGTCCAAACCCAGTGAATCGGAATGTTGTTCACAAATTTGGCTGGTGAATTTAAAAACCATAAAAAAAACCAGGCTTTTGGCCCTTTTAGACATTTTCGCCCTAAACCTAATTTTTCCCCCTTGTCTTTTTCTCTCTTTCTCTCCCTCTTAATTTTAGTTTGGGTTCTAATTGTAGACATTATTATTTTTTAATTTCTCCATGTAGTTCTTTAGATTTATGTGTATCTAGTTAGCACACTAAGCCCATGGGCAAAAAAACATGGTGGCCAAGGTGGTCTTTGGTCCACCCTCAAGTTTCTCCAAATTTTTTATCTATGATTACTATATTTATATATACTACAATTTGTAATATATTCATTGTGTCCACCCTATCATTTTTGTATAGGCG